ATTCTTATGCTTTTTTTGTTTTTTTTTTTGGTACTAGGGATTGAACTCAGGACCTTGCGCTTGTGAGGCAGGCACAGTGCCACTGAGCTAAATCCCCAGCCCTCCTCTTTAATTCTTCATAAAATTTATGTTTTATAATTTTTAGTGTTAGGGTTGTGCGCACTTGTCAGACCTCATTTCATATTTTCTGATGCTACTGTAAATGGAGTGACTTTTTAAACTTCAATTTCAATTGTTGTACATAGCTTTAGTGAGTACTTTGTTTTGTTTGTTTTGGAAGGGTGGTGGGGATTGAACCTTGGGCCTTGACACTGAGTCATACAACTAGTCTTTTTTTAAAAATTTGAGACAATGAGACCATATATTGAACCAGAATGAGTATTTTGCATGACCTGACTCCTTTGATAGTTACTGAGAATATTTTATGGCCTAAAATACAGTCTAGACTATCTTGAGCACATACTTGAAATGAATGGGTACACTTTTGTTAGATGGAATATCTTATAATGACAATTAGGTCAAGTTGTTGACACTGTTGTTCAAGTGTGTAATATTTGTGCTTTCTGCCAACTTCTATCAATTATTGAGAAGGGGAAGTGCTGAAATCTGTAACTATAAATTTAAGTTGTAAGGACTGGGTGGTACCTTGCCTGCCTTGCAAGTGCAAGGTCCTGAGTTTGATCCTCAGTACCAAATAAATAAATAAAAGTTGTCTATTTCTCTTTATAGTTCTATTCTCTTTTGAATTTCTATTAGATATATAAAGAGTACAGCTGGGAGTGATGGCGCATGCCTGTAATCCCAGCACTCAGGAGGCAGAGGCAAGAGGATCACTGTGAGTTCGAGACCAGCCTGGGCTACACAGTGAGTTCCAGGTCAGTTTCAACTACATAGTGAGACACTGTCTCAAACCGCCTCCCCAGCACTGGGGAGGCTGAGACAGGAGGATGGCCCACAAGTTCAAGGCAAGCCTGAAATACAGAGCAAGACTCTGTCTCAAAAAAAAAAAGAAAAGATCTTTACCTCTGTGTTTGTCTGAAATCTATTTTGTCTCATACTCATAATATATTTCAATTTTCTTTTGCTTATACTAGCACATTGTATCTTTTTCCATTCTCTTATTTTTACTCTATTTGTAACTTCCCTGTAGGCAGCATACCACTTCTTATACAATCTCTATATTTTAACTGAAACCTCCAGCACAACTTACATTTAATGTAATTACAGATAGGATTAGGTTTACTTGCTAATTGGTTTCATCAAAAGTATACTTCTTGGGGCCGGGGATTTAGCTAAGTGGCACCGCATCTACCTCGCAAGCACACAGTCCTGAGTTCAATCCTTGGTACAGCAAAAAAAAAGTATACTTCTTGGGCCAGGGATTTAGCTCAGCAGTTCGGTGGCCTGCCTTGCAAGCACAAGGACCCGAGTTCGATCTCTGGTACCAAAAAAAAAATATATGCACAAAGAGCCAGAGATGTAGTTCAGTGGTTCCACCACTTGGCGCAAGGTCCCGAGTTCGATCCACCGTACCAAAAAAAAATTGAGGGCTGGGAATTTAGCTCAGTAGTTCTGCTGCCTGCCTCACAAGCACAATGTCCCGAGTTCAATCCCAGGTACCAAAACAAACAAACAAACAAATGCACAAAGACTGCTGGGAATATAGCTCAGTAGTAGAGCACTTACCCAGCATACAAAAAGCCCTACATTTGCAAGGCCCTGGATTCAGATTCCCATAATCTTGCTCCCAAAAAAGGACAAAGATTTGAATTCTCAATGAAGAAAATATGAACAAATAGATCCCAACAAGCACAGAAGTAAATGTTCAATATTATGAGCATTTGGGGAAAAATATAATAAAACATTAAAAAAACACGAAAACAAAAAATACGAGGGCCAGGATTTAGCTCAGCAGTTCCGGCACCTGCAAGGCGTAAGGACCCAATTTCGATCCCCAGTACCAAAAAAATAAAAAACACGTGAGAGCTAAGCATGGTGAAATATGCTTTAATCCTAGTATTCTGGGATACTGAGGCAGGAGGATTCCAAGTTCAGGTCCACACGGGCAATTTAGTAATGGCCTGTCAAAATAAAACATAAAAAGGGCTGAAGCTGTAGCTCAGTGGGATAACCCTGGGCTCAATCCAAAGTACCTCCAAATCAAAAACAACCAACCACAAGATACAATTCAAATATCAAAATGTCAAAAAGTTTTTTAAAAGTCAAATTACAAAAGACTGGGACTAAGGATATAGCTCAGGGCCACTGTGTTCTCTCTTGCACAGATGATCTGCCCTCGCGCTGCAGAGTGTACTGATTTTCCTACTTTTACTTGGCCAAGGCTCTTTATGCAGAGCCTGTTTCTTTTCCTCCCTACCTTTACAGCTTTGCCATCCTTAAAAGAAAAAAAAAAGGAATATAGCTCAATTGGGAGAGTGCTGGCCTAGCATACCTGAGGCCCTCATTTAAATCTGCAATACTGCAAAAATAGAAAAGAGAAAAATAAAAACAACAGCCATTCACAGTGGCACATGCCTACAATCCCAGCTACACAGGAGGCAGAAGCAGGAGGGTTGTGAGGCAAGGAGACTGAAAGTTTTAAGCTAACATGGGCAACTTATCTAGATCCTGTCTCTAAATAAATAAATAAAATTTTTTCATTTAAAAAAAAATATTTTTTTTGTACCAGGGATTGAACTCAGGACCTTGCACTAGCCAGGCAGGCATGGTGCCACTGAGCTGCATCCTCAGCCCAAGAAAAAAATTTTGAATCAGACATGGTAGTGCCAATACCTATAAGCCCACTACTTGGGAGGCTAAGGCAGGAAGAGTGATTATCCCAAATACCACGATAGGAATGAAGGAATAAAAGGAGGGAAGAAAGGGAAGAAGGGAAGAAAAGGAAGGAAGGAAAGAAAGAAGAAACATAGCAAGTGTCCACACTGTGACAAGCTAGAACTTTCACGTATCTATCAATGATGGGAATATAATACGATATAGATTAACCTATACTGCTATGACCCAGTCATTCCACACCCAGGTATGCATCCAAGAGAAAAGAAGCTTACGTTCATACATAAACATGCATACAAATATTCACAGTGGTTTTGTTAGCCAAAAATCACCCAAATACCTATCAAATGTGTAAATGGTAAACAAATTATAGTATACACATACAAAGAAATACTACTTAACGATGAAAAGAAATGAACTTTGAAAATGGCTAAAGGGGAAGAGGGAAGAAGAGGGGAAATGAAATAAGGGAAAAGAAAAAATATCAAAAACGAAAAAATGGAAACAAAATTCTTTCTAAATAGGGAAGGGTGAAGGGGGTGAAGGGAGAGCAGGGGTATGGGGAAAAAATAAGAACCAAGATATATCATGTAAAGGTACAAGATCCCAATGAAGAATGTAACTGTACTGTTTGCTTTAAATGTACCAATAAACTTAACAGAGCGGGGAGAACTTTGATACCAGTAACAGCAGGGATGCCCTTTAAAATAATTATTCAGAATGAAAGCAGCCAGACCAAGAAAAAATACGCTATGTATTCTTCACACAAAACTCTACAGAGAATGCAAACTATAGTGATCTAGCAAATCGGCACAGGGGAAGGAGAAAGAGAGAAGAGATTACTAAACATAAGTAGTATGTCAGTGTTGTGTTCACTACCTTGACTGATAAGTTTCACAGATATATATCAAAAGTCATCACCCAGGAGAAGGCACACAACTATAATCCCAGTACTTAGGAGGCCGAAGCAGGAGGGTTGAGAGTTGAGAGTTAAAAACCAGCCTGAGCTATACAGGACATTGAAGGCCAGCCTATCCACACAGGGAGAGCCCATCTCAAATAACAAAACAATATTTATTATGGTCTTGCTATTACCCTTGTTGGTCTAAAATTCCTAGGTTCATAATCCTCCTGCCTCAGCACCTCAAGCAGTTGGGACTTCAGCATGTAATAACTCAACCACTTTGTACATATTAATGGCATGCAATTTATGTTGTATCAAGCATAAAAATAGCAAACAAAACTATTTTTTAAAAATCAGCTGTCCTAAAATGGGCATGATGGCACATCCTGTAATCCCAGCACTCAGGAGGCTGAGGCAGAAGGATCATTGTGAGTTTGAGATCAGCCTGGGTTACAAAGTGAGTTCCAGGCCTGTCTCAACTATGTAGTGAGACCCTGCCTCAAAAAACAAAAAACAAAAAACAAAAAAAAAACCAGCTGTCCTAAATCTCTGCAGCTAAACCCTGCAGTTCTGAGGTAGTAAACTAACATTCAAAATGTCTTGCCACAGGTTTCACTGATAAAATTAACAAAACTGCCAGGGATTTAGCTCAGTGGTTCTGCCGCCTGCCTTGCAAGTGCAAGGACCTGAGTTCGATCCCTGGTTGAAAAAAAAAAAAGTAACAAAACTGAATCTAAACCCAGATCCTCTCATGTGAAGTCCCATTGTAACACCAAATGGACTGGTGGTCTACTGATTTTAAACTTTTAGAATGTACAATAATTCTCACTGGATTTGAATGTACTAGATTATTAACTAGGAATCATCCTTTCTTTTCTTTTCTCTTCTGAGTATTGGAGATTGCACCCAGGACCTCCACATTCAGTTGTATCCCAGTCCTTTTTTATTTTGACAGGGTCTCAGTAAGTTGCCCAGGCTGTGCTCAAACTTCTGTTCTTCCTGCCTGAGCCTCCCAGTGCTGGGATTATAGGTGTACACCCTGACAACCAGTTTGGGAGTCATCTGTGAGAGCTCTTTTGCTTACTTAGCCTTCTCTTTCAACTATTTTGATCTTTCCATTTCCAAGATCAATCTTCAACCCATCCACTCTTCTTAAACACCCCAGCCACCACCCTCAGCAGATCTCATCTGGACCCCGGTATTAGCTTCAGCCTCTTCAAATCCACTCACCTGCCTACTCCAACAACTTTTTCCACACTGTAGCCAAAGTAGACTTTTTTTCTTCTCTTGGTTCTGGGGACTGAACTTAGGACCTTGCTCTTGCCAGGCAGGCACGGCACTGCTGAGCTACATCCCCAGTGCCAAAACAGGCTCAGAAACAAGTATCTGATTTTTTTAATCACCCATTTAAAACCCTGCAAAGAGTCTGGGATGTAGCTGTGTGGTAGAGCTCCTGCCTAGCATGCCCAGGACTCTGGGCTCTGTCTCCACTAAGGGGTGGAGGTTTCTCCAATGCTCGGAGCTAAAGTCATGACATACTTTTTGAGCCCTGTACAAGATTTACCTCTCAGGCACAGTACTGCACACCTGCTGTTCAGCACAGGAAGACTATGAAGGTTGAAGGTATATGTCCTAAACTTTTTAAATAAAAATCGTTCAGCAGAATGCACCCAGAGGAAATCCTCATGTTTATATCCAAGATAGTACTGAAAGATAAGGCAGGAAGATTTCAGTTCCAGGCTAGCCTAGGATACATGGTGAAACCCTGTCTCAAAAAATAAAAATAAGAGGCTGGGGATTTAGCTCAGTGGTGCTGTCAACCTGCCTCACAAATGCAAGGTCCCGAGTTCAATGCCCAGAAACAAACAAACAAACAAACAAATAAATAAATAAATATGAGAAAAACAAAACCCTAATAGTTCCAGACATTACAAATAAAAAAGTAGTTACAAGATATAGGGAGTCAGAGTAAATTGGTAAAATAATAAGGAAAGAATAAAAGCTTTCAAAGTAAAAGACACAGGGCTCAGTGGTTCCAGTGCCTGCCTCACAAACACAAGGTACCAAGTTCAATCACTGTGTACCCCTCCACAAAAATAAACTAAAGTAAAAGACAGAGTTTGAATACTGGTCTCATAGTTTACTGGCTGCTATACTACAAGCTGCTGTTGAGCTGGCCACCTAAGCCATTTCCCTCCCTCTTCCTGTCAGCCTGCAGCATACTTTCTCAGCTCACAGCCAAGGGTAAGGCAAGATCTAGCCAACTACATGTAAAGATAAACATGTGAAGATAAAAGGTACACTTTATCTTTTACACTTCTGGAAAGATTTCCCTGTCCTGCTTTATAAAGCATCCCTTACTGTGCATACAGCCATAATTTCACAACCAACAAAGCTCAACTCAGCATACTGAGAAGAGCAGAACAGAAAGACTGCTTTAGTGTTACATATCACTCTCATAATAGTTATCTTGGAAAATTAAAAAATATATGTGGAAAGAGAAAAAAACTCAAGTAATTATAAAGATTTAATGTATCTAAAAGTCTCTTAAAGTATGAAAAAAATTACAAAACCAAAAAGAAATTCAATATAATAGAATCATCAAAAAGTTTTTTTGTTTGTTTGTTTGTTTGTTTTTTTGGTGCTGAGGATTGAACTCAGGACCTTTCAATTGTAAGGCAGCCGTGGTGCCACTGAGCTAAATCCTCAGCCCCATCAAAAAGATTTTAAGAAGTACTGATACATAAGATAGCAATAATAACAATACTAAATAGTCCCATTAATCAATATGACTAAAAAAGTTAACCCTTGTAATGCTGGATATTAAGTAAAGCTTCATATGTAACACAACTTTACACATACAGAAATGTGTTCTGTAATCTATGTTGGAAGGTTCAATTCTGACTGAATCAAACCACAGGAAAAAAACAGGCACTTACCTCAAAATCACACTCTTCCCCCACAGCATATTTGGTCATGATTTCCAACCAGGCCGTATCTACTAACTTCTCTAGTGATGCTGTGTTATGGTGAACCATTTCCAGGACAAGTTTCTCATACCAAGCAGGGAACTCCTCCTTCAAACTAAATAAATATGTTATTAGTTACCAAGAAAACACAGAAAAACCTATTCATAGATTTAAGGTCAATTCAAACTATTTTAAAAACTTATCGTCTTGGGGCTGGGGATGTAGCTCAGTGGTTCCACTGCCTGCCTCACAAGCACAAGGTCCCGAGTTCGATCCCTGGTACCAAAAAAAACAAAAAACTCATCCTCTTAAGAGTAGTTTTAGGGCCACAGAGGAAAAAAACAAAAAAATCCACATTCCTCTAGCAAACGTGGGTGGGGGGGCCACACGCTAGTATGGTTACAAAGATTACAAATGATATGGTGGTGCGTGCCTGTAAGGCCATCTACTTGGGGAATGAGGCAAGAAGATTGTAAACTCGAGGCTATTCTGGACAACTAAGTGACAGCCTGTCTGAAAATATTTTAAAACCTGGGGCTGTAGCTCAGTGACAAAGTGCCCTGGTTTCCATCACTAATACCAAAAACAAAACAAATCAAAACCACACAGTTTATAGGGAAAACAAAGACTTACGGGGATTTTTGGTTTGTTTTTGTTTTCTGAAGCAGGGTCTTGCTCTGTAATTCAGGCTGGCCTTGAACTCACTACGTATGTAGCCCAGGCTGGCCTCGAATTCATGGCAATGCCCCCCCCACCGGGATTATAGACATGTGCCACCAAACATGGCTAAGAACTTTTAAAGAGGTTTTGTCACCAGGAGCAGTGCCACGCCTCTGTAATCCCAGCACTCCTTGAACCTGAGGTTTGAGGCCAGCCTGGGCTACATTGTGAGACTTTGTCTCAAAAACAAAATTAAGTAGCTTTGTCAGGGCTAGAGATGTAACTCAGTGGTAGAGCACTTGATTGACAAGTATGCATGATGCTGTACATTTCACCTTTAGCAATAAAATATAAAGTAGCTGCCTTCTCAGATTCATCTATCTAGGTTAATTTCCTCACTCACAAATAAGAACAAAAGGCATTATCACTAGCAAGGTTGAACATTTTCCCACTAAATTACTTTTGCAGTGGACTTCCTTTCAATCATCTTTGGTGAGGAAGACATTAACTTAATTACATGTGTTATACTTCGTATGCATTTACTTCTTTTTCTTTTTGGAGACAGGGTCTTGCCATATAGTTCAGGCTGCCCTTGAACTCCTGGCAACTTGTCTGCCTCAGCCTACTGAGTGCTGGGATTACAGGCATCCAACACAATGCCTGGCTAAGTAATTTAGTTCTTACAATGCCTTGTGAGGTATCTACACATTTCATTTTACAGATAAGGAAAATAAATGAGGAAAAGTTAACATGCTGGGGCCATGATCTGAATCTGAATATCAAAGCCCTTACAAATTAAAACAATGATACTTCCACTGATTAAACCAGCAATTTTTGTTTGTTTCTGTAGTATTGGAAATTGAACTCAAGGCCTTCACACTGAGCTAGCTACATCCCCAGCCCTTTTTTTTTTTCATTTGGACAAAGGGTCTCACTGAATTACCACACCTGGGTTCTCACTTGTAATCCTCCTGCCTCAGCCTACCAGACTGCTGAGATTACAGGCATATACCACCATGCCTGTGGCTCAAACAAGATTTGTAATATCTAATTCAACCTCCTCAGTTAGATAAACTGTCTTTTTTTTTTTGGTCCTTATTTTTTAAATATTTTCTAAAATTTCCACAAAACGAAAACTTTTTCTTCTGGCTGCTTCCGTATCACTTCTAGATCACAGCAGCTCCTCTGGTTAGAAATCTATTTCCAAAGTACTCACAAAGCAAAAGTCCAAGCATCTGCCTGCCAAGCACAAGTCCCTGAGTTTAATTTCCAGTACCAAAAAAAAAAAACAAAAACAGCAAGAGCACTCAAAGACCTGGCAAAAACAGTACCTAGAATGTATACACATAAATATATTCCACACACTTCGCTATGAGCAAAATGCTACTAAGCAAAGGCACCCAGACATACAACAATATTAACAAAATGTATTTCAACTTGTGCCCCCTAAATTTAAATACATGCTGGGTGTGCTAGAGCACACCTGTGATCCCAGCACTCAGAAGGCTGAGGTAGGAGGATTGCCCATGAGTTCAAGACCAGACTGGGCTACACGTGAGTTCAAGGCCAGCCTGAATTACATAGCATGATCCTGTCTCAAAGCAAAAACAAATATAAATACAAATACTACATTAGGGTCAATACCTGCCCCTTCCAGGGTGAAGACAGTGTCAGCAGGCAATGCATCTGTTACTTACAGTTCAGCAACTTCCTGTTCTTCCTCCCAGGCTTCCTTGTGCGTTAGCTGACTACTTCCAGTACTCTTACACGTCCAAATGCGTTCACTGTACCTTTCCAAGCGGGCTTCATACTCTCTGTTGGCAGTGGCTCAGGAAAACAATACTAACCAACATAGACAACCAATACATTCTCATACTTCTCTATTGAAAAAAATCTACAGTATCTTTTTTGTTTGTTTTTTTGAGACAGGGTTTCACTTTGTAGTGCAGGTTGGCCTTGATCTCTGTAGCCTAGGCTGGGGGTCCGAACTCATGGTAATCCTACTGCCTCAGCCTCCTTAGTGTGGGTGCACCACACCTAGCTTATAGCATCCTTCTCGTAACATACGGCACAGAATCATAAAATGGCTAAGTGTGAGGGTACATGCTTATAATCCCAGCACTCTAGGAGGCTGAGACAGATCACATGTATTTGAGCCCAGCCTAGGCAATTTAGTGAGACCTCATCTCAAAAAATTTAAGAGATAAGAGATGTAGCTCAGTGAGAAGGCCCTAGGTTCAATCTCTGGAACAACAACAACAACAACAACAAAAAAAAATCAAGGTACCAGGTTTTCAAGTGATAAATTTAAGGCAAAATTAAGACTAAAGTATGGTTAAAATGGTCTGTCATGTTTAACAAATATTAGTGAGTACACATGTGATTTCCTCAACTTACCGAAGTTTCATTTCACAAGACTCAGAAAGTAATACAAATTTTTAAGAAGTTGGACATGGTGATGGCACACCTGTAATCTCAGCACTAAGGAGACTGAAACAGGATTCCCTCAAAAATCAAAGTTAGCCTGGGCTATATCGTGAGCTCATCAGAACTACATAGTGAGGCCCAGTCTCAAAAAAAATAATAAATAAAATAAAACATAAATTTAGGTAAATGTAACTATTAACACAATTTAGATGGTCAGCAAGTTTCAGTCTCATATTTAATTTGTAATAATCTTGTACATATACTAATGACCTATTTACCAATATAGCCTTTTATTCAACACTTGTTGCTTTCTAGGGTTTAAAGTAAATTCCAGGGCTGGATGTAGTTCAGTACGTTTGATGCCTTGGGTTGAATTTCCGGCACTACAAAAATGAAATCCCAAGCCAGGCGTGGTAGGTGCATGCCTGTAATCCTAGCATACAGGAGACCGAGGCACGAGGATCACTGTGAGTTCAAGACCAGCCTGGGCTACATAGTGAGTTCCAGGTCAGTCTCAACTATGTAGTGAGACCCTGTCTTAAAAAAAAAAAAGAAATCCTAAAAAGCCCTAAAAATACTTTTCATATAGTATTTATCCAGTCTTTGTCTCTGTTAATACTTCATTCACAAGATCATTTATTAGCTGTGGTTCAATGAGTCTCGGGAGGGAATTTTTTAAATAAAGAAAACAAACAGCATGCAAGTTAGTGCCACATACATACAGGGCAACTTTCCATACCATCCCAACTGGAACTCACTATCAGTCAGCCACACTCAAATTCAAATTTGAGTAACTAATTTACTTTCATACAGATCAACAGATGCTAAGCAAGAAAACAAACTGACAGTACAACTAGAGGGTTAGCTGCCAATCCCTATACTTTCCAAGTGACACATATTATACTTGTTGAAATCAAAAGTATTTGAACAGCTCCTTCTGTAGTATTATCTTCCAAATAACAAGTATTCATTTTTTCTATTTTGTGTTGTTTTGCAGTACTGGAGACTTAACCCAAAGCTTTTAACCTGAGCTATTTCCACGCCCTTTCATTTTTATTTTTGAGATAGGATCTCACCAAATTTCCTAGGGTGGGCTTGAACTTGCAATGCTCTTGCCTCAATGTACCACCACATTCAATACAAGTGTTCATTTTTAATATATGGGGAATCTTAAATTTTCTAGGTTAACGATCAGTGAAAAGGCACAAAATAAGGACAAATCTATGTGTAATCCAAAATAACAATTTTAGCCATAATAAGCACTTTCACTCACTGTAGATATTTCTCTGGATCTGCCAAAATCTAAGTGATTAAAAAACAAAGTACTGTAGCAGTAAAAACTAAGTGTCAGAAAATAGAATCACCGAGAATTTATAAACACCAAGTCCCATGATGGTACACACCTGTGATCCCAGCACTCGGGAGCCTGAGCGTCAAAGATCCCAAGTTTGAAGCCAACCTGGTATACACAGCAAATTCAGGATAGACCCTAACTCAAAAACAATCCAAAGCTGGGCTGAGGATTTAGCTCAGTGGCACCACACCTGCCTCACAAGCGCAAGGTCCTGAGTTTGAGCCCTGATACCAAAGAAAGAAAAAAGAAATAAAATCCAAAACCAACACAGGTGTGGCAGCATCCACCTGTAATCAACTGTTTTAAAAAATTTACTGTGTCATCAGGGAAAATGTGAAAGTATATAAACAAACATGCCCTAAAAAGAGAATTTTTTTTTTTGGGGGGGGAAGAGTCTCAACATACACTCAGGCTGGGCTTGAGCTCACTAAGTAGCCCAGGCTGGCCTCAAACACCAGGTAATTCTCCTGCCTCAGCCTCCTGAGTACAGGGATTATAGATGTGCGCTACCACGCCTGCCTTTATTTACTTTTCAAAGTAGGAATACATGCCCAATTCACTCTCCACGGATCTAGACCCATGTGGCAAGCAAGAGTGAGACCCTGCCTGCCTCAATGATATCTTGGGTCCGACACCTTAGCTAGGCCCCTATCGTGCCTTTCTCCTGCTCTCCTGCCTCCCTCCTAACCAGTAACACCTATTCCCAACCTCACTGAATGGCCCTGTGTCCAAGTCAGAAACTGCAGAAATCATCTTCATCTTCTCAGTCCCAAACTGCAACGAATGATACATTTCTCAATTTACCGCAAGAATGTGATCACTATGTACTGTAAACACATATCAATAAAGATAAAAACGTTAGGGCTGAGGGTTTAGCTCAGTGATGCTGCCGCCTGCCTCGCAAGTGCAAGGACCCGAGTTCAATCCCTGGTACCCCCCACCAAAAAAGATAAAAACATTAAAAACAACTACCGTAGTATATTTCCTAATTCAATCCTTCCTATCCAGGAAGAGCCATTATCTAAACCAATTCTTACCCAGCCATACATATTAAAACAATGTAATCAGCTTCTCTTATAATATTCTTCTCTGGTCCTTTGTGCTTCTCACCCTACACGCTGTTTTCACTTAAAAAGAAAAAAAAAATCTGGGGAGGTACTGAAGACTGAACGTTGGACCTTTGCCCTGAATTACATCTCCAGCCCATTTTTTATTCTGAGACAGTTTTTCACTAAAATGCCCAAACTGGGCTCAAACTTGGAATCTCCCTGCCTCAGCCTCCCAGAGTTTAGGGATTAGAGATGTATGCCACACTAAACTGGCTTTGGAATTCCTGTTTTTTTAATACTCAGGATTGAATTTTGGACCTTCCCACCAAATTATATCTTTAGCCCCACCCCGCCTTTTTGAGATAGGATCTCTTGTAGCCAGGCTGGCCTTGAATTCAGTGATTCTCCTGCCTCAGCCTTCCCAGTGCTGGGATCACAAGTATGCACCACCATGCCTGACTCCCAATCCATTATTAATTCTCTCAAACCCACCTCATTTATCTCCAAAATCCATCTACTGTACTTCTCTACCCTGAGACTGTACTTCTCTACCCTGAGCGAGTAAATTTACTCAGACACCACATTTATCTATTGGCCAGATTATTTCAGCGGCCATTTCACTACTCCAATGGCTGAGGATACATTCTCAACACAGCAGCCACAGGGATTTTTCTAGTTTGCTTCTTTTCTATTCAAAATTTTCAACAACTTCCACTAAGCTGAAGGCCAAGACCATACATCTCAGCCTGCTTCATAAGTACTTGTTTCATGCAGCTCTTTTCTGTTTCTTTCTCCATTACAATAACCTTACCCCAAACCCATTCCTTCATTCCAGGAATATGAAAGGCTGATGTATTTTCATTTTGGTTTTTGTTTTTGCAGTAATGGGGATTGAAACCAGGACCTTCATACTGACTTAGGTCCTCAGCATTCCCTGACACACAAGGTCTCACTAAATTGATAAACTGCCTGGGTGGGCTCAAACTTGCAATCCTCCTGCCTGGGAGTGTTGGGATTATAGGCATATGCCACCATGCCTGGCTTCCTCAATTTCTATCAAGAACCTTCAAACTTGGTAGGCCAAGACAGGAGGATCATTTGGGTTCATAAATCTGAGAACAAACCTGGTCAGCACAGTGACAACACATCCAAAAAAAAAAAAAGAACCTTCAACCGCACACTAACTCCTCACAGCTCTGGCACAAATACATAGTTCTATTATCTAACTAAACATCCTTTAGATCTCAAAAATAACTTCCTCTTGGAAACACCCATCTCCTGGATCCTTCAAATAGGTGGATCAATGTTCCAATGATTCATACCCTTTCCACAGATTTTATACACTGACCCACTGTGATGTGGACTGTAAAGAGGAACGTACACCCTTCACCCCACTGGTGTTGCTCAGTATTTTAATGTTCCAATAAAATCATGATGGGGTTGGCCAAACAAGTGGACCAACAGATGTGATATGTGCCACTTCTGGGCAGATTTTAAAAGCCAGTATATTGCCCTCCAGCTCTTTATCACTAGAAAGGCATACCACACAGTGAGTGCACCTTCAGCCTAGGTCTTAGAATAAGAAAAAAAATCTGTTTTGCCATTTTTGTTTTTTTGGTGTGGTACTGGGGACTGAACCCAGAACCTTTGCATTGAGCTACATTCTCAACCTTTTCCATTATTTTTATTTTGAAGCACACCCAGCTTCACTTTTCCTTATTATTTTTTTTCACTTTTTCTTTTTAAAAAATGTGGCCAGTAGCCAGGCTTTGCAGGGAACACCTACAATCCCAGCAGGATCACAGGGTCATAATCAGTCTAGGTAACTTAGCAACTTAATGAAATCCTGTCTCAAAATATAAAGAGCTGAGGCTCAATATGAGATTAGGCTCAGTGTCCAATATTGCTAGCTAAATAAATAAATAAATAAATCAAATGGCCAGAGACCACCCAAAGCAACTTAGCAAGACCTCATCACAAGTGAAGGACTGGGCATGCAGCTCAGAATGAAGGCCTTGGGTTCAATCCCAAGTACTGCAAAGGAGAAAAGAAATTTTATACTGCACATGGCTTATAATTTTATTGTACAGCACTATAAACTTGAGGTATACAACTCAAAACAAATATCCTCTGACAACATTAACACAAAAATTTTAACTGGCTAATCAAATTCATTTATTTCTAAAGTCTAAATTGAACCCCTAATGCCCCTCACAATGGGTATTTTGGGTTTATTTACTGTTCTCATTATTTTGACTTATTTTAAAAAAGGGCCAGGGGTTTCATTTAGCTCAGTGGTTCTACTGCTTCACAAGAGCAAGGTCACGAGTTTGATCCCTGGTATCAAAAAAACAAAAAAGTGGATGGGCATGATGGTGCCACCTGTAGTCCCAGCATCTGGGAAGCTGAGGCAGGAGGATCACAAGTTCAAAGCCAGCCTGGACAACACAGTGAGTCCAACGTCAACCTGAACTACATAGTAAGACCCTCTAAAAAAAAAAGAAGAAGAAAGCAAAATGAAAAAGAAACAAAGCCCATCAGAAAGATACTGAGAAAGATACTGAGTCAGCTGATTCTAAATCCTATTTCAGATTTTAGGTTACCAAAATAAGTCAGTCACTCACAAATAACCACTCAGAGCAAAGGCCAATTGAAGTTTTTATGTTCCACCAACTGTAGCACATATAATTACAGACAAATGTCAAAGCAATTCTCCAAAGGTTGTGTAAGCTATAAACGTTAAGATATTTTCAAATTCTAGACTATCTCATTATGCATCTACTTTTTCAGGACTTCAAGATCTACCTACTTTCTTACTACAATAGGCCGCTGCTTCATTCACTTTAGCCTTGTAAGGACTGTTTCCTCCAAAAGCACCTGATGGCCTGAACAGAAGAGGCCCCAAAAAAGTATGGAGGTTAAAAAAGCATGCTGGATGTGGTGGCACACACCTGTCATCCCAGAATTCAGGAGGCTGAGGCAGGAGGATCACTTTGAGTTAGAGGCCAGCCTGAACTATACAAAGGGATATATCCTGCCTCAAAAAGGGGGGAGGGTTAACTGTGATCCTAAGAGTTCTAGTGAGAAAATGACAAATAAAACAAATTAAAATTTACTTTTTAAGCAGAGAGTGGTGGCACGCACCTGCAATCCCAGAACTAAGGAGGCTGAGGTAGGAGGATCACCGCAAATTTAAAGCCAGTTTGGGATACACAGTGAGTTCAAGGGAAGCCTGAAGTATACCTTGAGACTGTCTAAAAATGAAAATAAATAAATAAATAAATTTAATCTTTATCCCAGTTTTTTCTCTATGGCTCAGATTGCCAGGAAGTTTAAAACAACGCTAAAAAATTGGGTGTGGCAGCACATGCTTATAATCCCAGAAATGAGGCTGACTCAGGAGGATTCCTGGGAGTTCAAATTCAAAGCCAGACTAAACTACAGTGAGGTCCTATCTCAAAAAACCAAAATAAATAAACAGATAAATAAAATTTTTAAAAACCTAATCCAGAGCTGGGTTATTTACCTCAGTGGTGCTGCCACCTGCCTCACAAGCACAAGGTCCTGAGTTCAATCCCCGGTACAAAACACACAAAAAAATAAAAATAAAAAAAACCCTAATCTGATATATGTATAATATATAAAATAAACCTAAGAGCTCAGTATTTTAGAATACTGCACAATAAAATTCTGTCTTAGCCAGGCATGGTGGCATACAACTTTTAAAATCCCAGAACTTTGGGAGGCTAAAGCAGGAGGAGGACAAGCTTAAGTCCCATCTGGAAAACTTAGCAACCTAGCAAGTTCAGTCTCAAAATTTTTAAAAACTGAGAAAAGACTGGGAATGTAGGTTAGTATGAAAGTCATAACTTCAATTCCCAAAACTGCTAAATAAATTAATTATAATTAATTTGTGTCTTGCAACTGCAATTTAACTCCACGTACAGTTATCCAATTCTTAAAACCTGCTCTGTGTCACTCTGCTGGGAGCCATTTTAACTGTAAGAATCAGTCCATCATACTATCTAAAAGTTCTCATATAACCCACAAAGTTATTTCTAAACTTTAGAAACTATGACATGTGAAGCAACCAATAAAAATAGTACAGTATGTAACAGACTATTGTAGCTTCAGTTTTTGCTTAAAACCCATCTTGCTCCAGCACTAAGGAAGGTGAGGCAAAACTGAGTTTACAGGCCAATCAGGGCTACAGACAGACCCTGCCTCAAAACCAGAAATCACACTGGGCACGGTGGCACACACCAGTAATCCCAGCAGTTAGGAGGCTGAGGCAGGAATGTGAGGCCAGCCTGGGCTACAAAGATAAGTCAAGGTTGGCCTGAACTACATAGCGAGACCCTATCCCAAAAAAATAAAAGAAAAGGGCCAGGGATGTAGCTCACTGGCATAGTGCCTGCCTGGCAAGCGCAAGGTCCCAGTACCAAAAAACCATAAACAACAAAAATCTAACAACTTCAGACACAGCCAGTGTACTTATTACCCCATCACTGTCTAATAATCACTTCAAAAGTGGCTAACAAGAGCCAGGCATGGGCGCACACCTGTAATCCCAGCTCTCAGGAGGCTGAGGCAGGAGGATTGCTGTGAGTTTGAGACCAGCATGGGGGCTACATAGTGAATTCCACATCTGTCTCAACTACATAGTGAGACCCTGTCTCAAAAAACCAAAAAGTGGCTATTAAAAGTTAATATTCAAGATTTAGCTCAGTGGCACCATACCTG